TAATTGTTATTGTACTTTTTTTTTCATCAATGGTATTATTGGGGGAACAGATATGAAATTCTAACTCAGAAATTTGAAGAGTCTGAGTCTCTATATAATAAATGCTTTAGGTGCTGAAAGTTCATTTGGATCTTGTGCAGAAGCCTTAGTTTTAAGAAAAATACAATACTGTTTTGCAGACTTGGCGAGAAGACTGCTAACAGCATCTTGAAAAACTTGTTATAATTCGTTTGTGAGTTTCCTTTGTTGCTTTATGTAATCCCAGACAGACTTTATCATGAGATCAGGGCTCAGGGGGAATCACACCATCTGTTTTAGGACTGCTTGCTCTTGTAATTCAAAATATTGTTTTTTTTTATTCTGCTTTGCATTGGGGGTAATTGTCACACAACCAGAATCAAGTTGGATCAGATGGCTCACTAATTATTTTCATTAATAATATGAATGGAAAGCCAACATTTGCTCCCCCTATTTCAAGCTATGTTTTAGTTCAAATGCAGTTTTTAAAAAGCTGAATAGTTTCAACACCCCTGCCTAAAGCATCATTCAACAGAAGGTCACATAAACCCAGAGGCCATTTCTAGAATTTGAAAAACAGCCCATTCAATGTAATCATTACACATTTCCAGTGACAAAAAGCCTCCTATGAAGCCTGGTAGTGTAAAAACTTGGGTTATTGAATTCTAAAGTGGAGTGACCTTCAAGTTTTTTTCCTGTTCAGAGGAGAAAAGAGTGATGTCAATACGGGGTCCTTTGGAAGTGACCAAAGCTCCAAGGTGAAGTGCTTTTTATATTTTTAAATACATATTAATTCTATCTACAAAAGAAAACAAATTTATAACAAATATTCATGTGAGCTGTAATCATTTTACATAATCTGTTTGATTTATCTCTATCTTTGGTTTTATAACAAAGGATTAGAAATGTTCTATTTTATTTTTCAGTTTTTCCATTACTCTGACCAGTGCTTTAAATGGACTGGTATGCAAAGGTATTCAGTACGGTATCATCACTTTTAAATGTTCCCCATAAGCGTATCAGAGCTTTATTCCAACACACCCCAGGTACCTGGGCTTCTTTACCCGCATCCCTCCTTCCCTCCCAACCTCTCCACAGTTTACTGTTTATTTGTTGCTTGACAAACTCTTCAAATAAAACCAGTCATTTTAACGCAGAATTCTTGGTATTAATGCCATTAATGTGGCTGATGAAAGGCTCAGGAAATGGAGGTTGGACTCAGTGATTTAGACTTAGACATCAGATTTACTAACAATAAATCTGATGGTGCAAAACCCCTGGGATTTTTTAGATACCCATTTGGTTTACCCTGAGCACAACATTTGCATTGTTCCCCCACCTGAAAAAGACATATAATTCAGTATTTTTTAGTTTGTTTCTCTTTATTGCAAAAATAATTCCTCAATTTTTATGCTGTGAAAACAATAGCAATAAATAAAATGAGAAATTAAAATCTTTAAAAACATTTAATAATTTTGCACCAACAATGGTGTAATATTTCCACACAAGATGTCTTTGTTTTATCTATCATAGTGGAATACTAGCAAAAATATATATTTTAAGAGGGATTGAAATAAGGAGAAAGGTATACCTAATATAATCCAACAATAAGGTGTGGAATACAGAACTAAGACTCACCAAGTAAGTGCTGTTAAAATAAAGCCCTAGTTGCAAACTGGGACTTTATTACACTTTACAATTTACACAACTTTAATCATTATTTGGGATCCCATGCATTAATGCTTTTTATATGGTGCATTTGCACCATATAAAAAGCTGACATTCTCGGAAATATCCTGGAGATGACGTTTAAACACAACATAATGAATCTAACAACAGTGAAAGAAAGATAAAACCATCTCACAGCATTTCATGGAATAATAAACAAATTTCAAGCAGAAAAAAAAAGTTCAAACTCAAGTACAGATGAGGTCCAAAATGTACATATAAGCATGTATGTTATCCGTCATTTCAAGAATGATGAATACCATTTTTGGATTCTTCCCTTGGTATTCAGGGCCCCATGCACAGTGCATTAGATGTTTGGGCAGAGTGTTGGCACTGTGTAAAATACTATGGCTAAAGTGGCATGGGTTACTGAAAAAGAAAATGTATTTCATAAAAGAAAACTGTCTCAAGCTGACTGAAATCTTGAGACAATGTTGTCATTTCTTTGTTTTTCAAGATCTTTTATTTAATAACTTTATTTTTTATTTTTTTTATTTATTTCCTTGTTAATTCCCTGAGGCTCCACGTTAATAAAATTGAAATTGAAATTAGAACTAGCTTTGTTTTCCTGTTTTTTTTTTTTTTAATTGGATCTATAGATCAGGGGTCTTCAACGATTTCCAGGCCAAGGACCCCCAAACTGATGACAAGATGGAGCGGGGACCCCCTAATTATATATATTGAATGAAATTGTGTTATATCAACTGCTCCTATAGTCACTCTATTACAGATGGAGTAATGTAACTAAAGTAATCCCTCCCTGGGATTATTAAAGTATTTCTGATTCCTGGTTGATGGGACAGGAGTTGTGAATGAAACGGTGCCCAGTTTGAAAGAGCTCCTGTGTGTCTCTGAATGTGTGCATTGATGACTGAAAGACATCTTCTGCCTCCATTTATCTGTTTACTACAGTCTGTTCAATTCATGTTAATGTGGATTTAACATTTCATTTACATGACATTTCAATTCAGGAGGGAATATATAAAAAAAAAAAAAATGAATCAACCTAAAGTTTCGCGACCCCCATGCAGTACCTCCGCGGACCCCCTAGGGGTCACGGACCCCTGTTGAAGACCTCTGCTATAGATGAATAGATAGATCTGTATGACAATATATTACCCATCACATTAAGGGAGTACTAGCTCTTCATACCTTTAAAGCACTGATTGACTATTCATTGCATTAGAATTTTATTTAAAAAATGCTACCAGATGTAATGTATCAGCCAAAAATTCATCTCAAAACATGGTGATGTATAACAGAACGGTATGCTACAATGAGGTGAAACTACAAGAAAAGGGAAATTCTGGTATCACTCTGAGAAATTATGTTAAAATAAGATATAAACGTATTGTAAAAATTTTGAACTAAAGTACAACATGATCAGTGATTAGTTTTCTACAGTATTCACATGTACCTGCCACTAGAATTTGGTCAATATACCTGTCTGGACTATTATGTAGATGTTAAATAAAAATAAAGAAAATTTGAAGAATGAAAACTATTAGAGAACCAATTACTTTTTCATCACAGTGCTTTCCATTATTGTTTAGGTGGGAGGGTTTTGTATAAACAAAATATAATGTTTAACCTCATTTCATTTTGTTACAGTATACCCATTTCATTACTTTAGAAAATAAGTCAGATCTGCTATCCTGTATATGCATTATCACTTGTACTGTATGTTATCAGTTACCTCCGAAGAATTGAATGATACACTGAATATTTACCTAATTCTATAAACTTTCATTATTTATAATATTTCACCTAAATATTGACAATGTAACTGATTGAATTGTTTGACGATAACCTGTTAGTGAGTTTCTGTAAAACACTGTTTTTGAACATCTGCCTCTCTGCCATGTTTTATGTTGGTATGACCCCAGGGAAGAGTCAATATAAGGTCTGGCTTTAAAGATGTTTGTGTAATTCAAAGATCTGGGTTTAAAATGTCTTCATTGGTTATTAAAAAAAAGGAAAATATAATTTTGAAAGCAAACCAAGAGAAACAGACATTTTTTTTTTTTTTTTTTTACAATTGATTACTGAGAGGGATGATGGGATGATTAATTTCTGGTTTTCTTATTTCCTGTAGGGCAGAGAATGTATTTATCATAACTTCTTGATTAATTGGAAATAAATATGAATCTAAATATGCCAGGATTACCTTAATTGTATATGTGATACATGTATAGCTTTTTATAGCTTTCTGTAAACCCATGTGAAATACATTTCTAGAAAGGCAAGTATGCCGAGTTAGTTGGGAATTTACAACAGCAGCTTCTTTAACCATGTTAGTGTAAAGTGTCCTAATCTTGAAATATAGTCCATGAATTATTAGATATGGCACAGATTTATATATGCAATAACGTATATATGATATGAGAAATCAGAACAGACCTAAAGGTTCAGACTGGTTTTCTCAAATCAGGACATTATAAACGCAGGATCATTCAAGAGTTGTATGGATTTCCAGTAAGAGTTTGGCCAAATGACCCCTGTTGGTGTTATCCCCTTGTTAAGTAGTCAAAATACAGTTTAATAAATGCACTTTAAGTATCGGGTAAGGACATTAAAAATACAATTATGTACTTTTTAAGCACGAACTGTCTTTAGCTGAAAAGTAAGCATGTAGCTGTATAGTAAACTGTGGCTTTGCATTATGTTGCAGGCAAAAAAATATTTATCAGATTAAACGTCTTAAACGTTTTCTCGGAAGCAAAGGATTAAACAAAGAACATGCCTTCGACTCCTACGTCTTAATTCGTACAGTCAGCATAGAGAATTATTTTTAAAATAAAATTTTATTAAGTTTGTGACCAGGTATCTATAGAAAACAATTGATTTGTGGTATTATTTTGATGAAGAAACAAACAAACAAAAAACTGAAATCTTTTTTCTAAGGTGTCCAGAGGGAATCTAATAGTATAAATTACAGTTGAAGGTGAAAATAGAGGGAAAGGGAGCATTGTGTGCGTCTGTGGCAATAGCCTGTGTGTAGGTCTGTGTGCCTGTGTGCGCATATAGAGCCTGATTTAGACGGCGAGAAGAGCAGAAAAAAGAAAGGAGACTAGAGCATTTACGATTATTTGGAGCTTTATTCGACCTCCTTCAACTCTGAACATCTGGATCGTAACGCACATTTGTGCCAACGACCAATTAGGAGACGATCAGTTAATTAACATTCATGAAGATCCAAACATATACTAAACCGTAATCCTTTCAATTATGTTGGAGATACATTAAGGTTAATGACCAGTCTCAGCGGTGTTCAACGCTTGTTTTCTGATGATGGCAGGGCATCTGGAGCTTGAGATCGGAGCGCGTCAAGTGAGTGCGCCTGCAGCAGCAATCCAACAAGTGGACGTATGAATTTGCTGAAAGCAAGCTTAAACAAGGCTATCAGAGCACTTATAGCATCATTTATCGTAACGAATACCGGTTTAGATTAGAGAGAAACATCCTCCGCTACCTGATGTGAGGCTCATTTTAACCAATCATGGTGAAGCGGTCAACGCATTTGCGCGCAACGTGCACTTTTCAAATGGCTTTATTGTTCTGAACACTTACAACTGAACTGCAGTAAGGTAAGACAGCCTCAGCATTTATTCTGCTCTTCATTTATTGACCCAAAGGAGGATTAAGGCAAACACATTGAGGAATTCACCGCATTTCCCATCACCATGCTCTCAATCCATGGACACTCTGCTCCGTTCCATATGTGAGCACGCAAGGGAAGCTGGAATCATCTCCATAGACATTTCTTTATGACGAGGGTGGAGGTGGGAGAAAAAGATTGCAGTCATGCCGATGCATCCAGTCACCTCTACGCTGATGTACCGGGGCATCTGCACTATCCCCGACATCCTCTCCTACAGCGCCCCGGTAAACCTGCCCGAAGACGAGGTTGAAGGTGAGAATGCACCTGTTCACACGAAGCTAATGACCATCACAGTGTCGGTAGTAAACATTGGCCATTTGAATTCGTGACTGGTTATACAGTGGCATCTAATGTGGTTTGAGCTCCAGCAGGTAGCTGCTTGACACGGGCGCACGGTCAGGACCTTGGACAGCGCTTAGATGAATTTAGGCATTTCTAGTTTTATTCATGGCTTATTTTGTTTCACACAGTTTGGTTAAGTGAAAGAAAACTAGCTAAATGGTCTAATTTCCTCAAATATATTGATCAAAAAGTACAAATAGGCATTTTTTTCCTCACAAAAGTCACCTCTGAGGACCACAGTAAAGATTTTACTCATAAATTATGGAGTTGGATGTTAAAACAGAATTTCTTGTCATAATTCCCTGCTCATTAAACCTGGAAACCAACATTTCCTAAATGATTTGTCACTTTTATTTTTTTCTACCAGCTACATTATATAATGGAAAAGTTATACACTGAAAGCTTTTTACCTAAGAATCAACACTTGTAATTTATCTGTGTTCAAAACACAAGAGAACTAGGAGTTGCAAAAAGTTATGAGACATTTGATTCATTTTGATAACCATTTATAGCGGTATATTTAAATAGAAATAAAGTGTTGCATTTCTTTCATTTTTTTTATTTATTTTTTTGTTTTTACAAATAACTATTTCTATTCTTAATAGAAATATCGCTGTGTGTCATATGAAAGGATGGGAATGGTAATAATAACATAAATGTACTGTTTGGAGGCTGAAATAATACATAAATCAATAATTGGTTTGACAAAATCTATAATACAATCCCTACTTTCTTACATCTTGGTCTGCTGATGATCATCTAGTTACCACCTCATTAAGAACAATAATATGTACTTCTGTTAGAATTCAGCAGAAACTGGGAAGTAATGGCCATCAAATGAAGAGACGCTTAATTCAGGAAAAAAAAAAAATCTGCATTTTCAGCAAAAAGACAGATATAACCCAATATAAAATAAGGCATGAACTGGTTATAAAATTCATCTGCAGTTTCTTCACACTTTTAAGTTCTGTAAGCCTCTATAAATAATAACTTTGTCACCTTAAGTTGTGTTGTATCAGGACCCAATCCTTAAAAGGCATATTTAAACATTTGAATGCACTGATTTTAACTTTACCTTGTTAAAAATGCAGGGCAATGTGGAAAAGTATTTTCACAAATACCAATACTTTGATGAGCTGAATTAGAGGTCCCATTCTGCTTTGATAGAAATAAATATTTTGTTTTCCTTTTCAAAAAACAAACTTTGCCTAGGTGGTGGTGGTTTGGATTTTTTATTTTACAAATGAAAACAAACCTCCATAAGCTAAGCTTGCTCCCAATAAGAATTCCAGGAAAAAATAACAAACATCATATTAGTAAGAGAACATAAATAAAGACATTGGACCTACATTTCTTCAACTCCTAAATGGTACTTTTATTTCTAACCCTCCTATTCAGTTTAAATATTTTATTTTAAACACTTTAGAACAACGCTTTAACAATTTTTCTTTTGGATTTCATCTTTAAACCAAAATGTTAATATGTATATGTTAAAAGTGGTATATTGATAAATTTCTATTTAAGTGGTTTATTTATTGAAGCAGTGTCTTTGCTGATGTAAAAAGGATGGTTGTGCCTTATTTTTGTCATTGATTAGGAGAAGCTAAAGGAGAAACCAAGGTTGTTTACAAAGGGAATCTCTGTTTCTCCTCCCACAATTCCAGTTTAATTTACAACCAAACTTGTAGTGCAATAAACAGACAACACTTCATTTAAACTCTAATTAATCAAATCTGCTTGTGCCTGCTGCACACATGCTGTCACAAAACAAACAGAGCCATTTGGGCTTAACAGCTCAACTCATTTTGGTGGTATGACAGGAAAAACACAGTGGTGCTTTGCAGGCAGCACATGTAAGCTGTGAGTATTTCATTTAAAGGGCATTGTTTTACTTCATGGTGGTAATTAGTGATCCTATGGTGGAAAACTCTCGCAGGTTTTGGAATTGGAAGGCTTCCCCACACAGTCACTGAGTTAATTGGACAGTATAACAGATATATATGGAGCACAGTGGAATAAATACAGTGACGTTGACAATACATTGGATTTTTTATGTAGATTAATTGATGTAAATTTAATTAATTATAGATTATGACTTATTCCAGGGTGTATGATAGAATTGCAGACAGGAGATTTAAAATGTGGTTTTCTCAAGCTATATCTTGAAAAACACACTGCATGGTTAAAACTAATTTCAATTGCTTGCTTTGCAAAATGATGGGTCCAAAAAAATAAAAGCATCAACAATATAGCTAGGATTCCTTACAAGAATCCAACGAAAAAATGTAGATCTTCCTCTGAATTATTTGAATTTTAACAATGCACCTCTGAAAACAGATCAGAGCGCCGAACTATTCTTTCAGTTATGGTATTCGTTCAGCTAGGTCATTCCTATAAATTCATAACATGAACCTTTCCCTGTAAGAATTAAATTTTATTAGTTAAGAAAGTTAATTTAAGTTATAATGAATGGAATTGCTGATAGCTGCAACGGCAAACCTAATAATGAATAAAGCTACATGTAACGTTGAGCCGCTGTTGCATATTTGCCCTGCTGCAGCCTTTGGAATGACCACAGGTGTCCTGCCTAGATGTCCCCAGAGGACATATTACTCAGTCCTACACATCCGAACTACACACAAGTGCTACATTCATTCTGGCCCTGTTAAGCTTAGATGATATCCTATCAAATTTGGGTGAAATTTGTGGCAACAGACTTTCTAAACTATTTATAAAATATCATTAGAAATTATTCTCTGTTATTAGAAGTTCAAAACTTCTACACAATGTCATGTCAGGTCATTCATTACAAAAACCTGTGCCTTTTTTCTCAGTGGGAGAACTAAGTCATGCACAGTCTAACACCATGCACATATGTTGAACTGTGGTCCAAAAATGCATTTTATATAACTACATGAAATGTAGTGGTTGCACTTGTTTTAATTTCCAATGTAATCAAATTGAACAGGCAGTAGGTTGACAATGTACTCGTACTCGTACTCGTACTCGTACTCGTCGTCTCCCGCTTTATCCGGAACCGGGTCGCGGGGGCAGCAGACTAAGCAGAGACTCCCAGACTTCCCTCTCCACAGACACCTCCTCCAGCTCTGTTGGGGGAAGCCCTAAGCGCTCCCAGGCCAGCCGAGAGACGTAGTCTCTCCAGCGTGTCCTGGGCCGTCCCCTGGGCCTCCTCCCAGTGGGACGTGCCTGGAACACCTCCCGAGGGAGGCGTCCAGGGAGCATCCGAAGAAGATGTCCGAGCCACCTCAACTGACTCCTCTCGATGTGGAGGAGAACCAGCTCTACACTGAGCCTCTCCCGAATGACCGAGTTCCTCACCCTATCTCTAAGGGAGAGCCCAGCCACCCTGCGGAGGAAGCTCATTTCAGCCGCTTGTATCCGGGATCTCGTTCTTTCGGTCATGATCCAAATTTCATGACCATAGGTGAGGGTAGGAACGTAGACCGACCGGTAAATTGAGAGCTTTGCCTTTTCGCTCAGCTCTCTCTTCACCACGACAGACCGGTTCAGCGTCCGCATTATTGCAGCAGCCGCGCCGATCCGTCTATCGATCTCCCGCTCCATTCTTCCCTCACTCGTGAACAGGACCCCAAGATACTTGAACTCCTCCACTTGAGGCAGGGACTCTCCTCCAACCTGAAGGGGACAAGCCACCTTTTTCCGGTCGAGAACCATGGCCTCGGACTTGGAGGAGCTGATTCTCATCCCGGCCGCTTCACACTCGGCTGCGAACCGCCCCAGCACACGCTGTAGGTCTTGGCAGGAGGGAGCCAGAACTACATCATCCGCAAAAAGCAGGGATGAGATCCGCTGGTCCCCGAACCAGACCCCCTCCGGTCCTTGGCTGCGCCTAGAAATCCTGTCCATAAAAGTTATGAACAGGACCGGTGACAGAGGGCAGCCCTGTCGGAGTCCAACATGCACCGGGAACAGGTCCGACTTAATGCCGGCAATGCGTTGAGGTTGACAATGATCATAGATTATCAAGTTTAAAGCAACTGGTAAAAAAAAAATATGCATGTGTGATTTTAACCCAATATTATGTAAAAAGAAAGATATGACATTTTTTGCTCCATTACTCCCTTATGGTCCAGTCTGCAGTCACTATTTAGAGTACAAATACACATCATCTTGTTCTGTGTCACTAGACACAGTTCTAAAAATCAGATTGTGAAAAGAGAACATCCATCCGTTTCTGTATTATTCCGTCAGGGTATCAGTGGGTCCAGTGCCTCATCTCCTATGAGCGAGAGGCACACATACAACCATGCACAGGTAGTTAGTTTAGGTAGGAGCAGTTCACTTGGAGGCGTCCAAAATGACCGACCTCTTGAAGGGTTTGAACATTTTTCAAAATACTTTTTTACAATTTTAATAAAAATAATTCTTCATGCCTCAAAATACAAAGTCTATAGCCTTTATATGAGAATATCTGATGAGCTTGTCAAGTTTTTTTGTAAAATTTTAAAACCCATTGAATTTGACCATTTGACCACTTTTTCTTGATTGGTTGTTGGAGAGTTCATCTGCTTTGCCATTGTAAGCAAATTGTCCCAGTTTTAAATGCAAAATGAAATGTGACCAAATGTCTTCGGAGGAGACCAGGATTCACCTGCTTGTTTCCAGAATTTATATGAGCTTTCATATCTTCTGCATCAATGCAAACTATCCGAGGAAATAAGCTGTGGTTCATTTGGAGCTGCTTAAACAGTGCTGCTATGAAAGTGCCCTTCAAGGTAAACAACTTTATTAGTATTTCTAGAATTACATTATAATAATGAAAAGTGTTCTGTCAACCTCACAACAGGAACATCTGCCTATATATCTTGTTTAAGTTAAATAAATTAACTCAAATAAAATATGAAAGTTAATTGTTCTGTCAAGGAAGA